GTTTTTCTTTTGGGGAAATGATGAGAACACAAGCTCTCTTTTCTCTCTAAAGAGGCTGGCCACCCTAGAGGAAAATAGCTAGCAATCTTACTTCCTCTAGGTCACTTATTTCTTTTTAAAATCTTACCTTGGTGCGGAGACTTAGAGGTTCTTCATTTTGAGAACTTGGAGAAACCTATTCTTCCATCCAAATCCATGGATCTAAGAAGCAAGGAATGAAGGCCCTATCTCTTGGGTGATTATCCTTTGCTTTTGCAAAGAGGAATCTACAAAGGTATAAATTTCTCAACTCACTTTCTTTTGAGTTGAGTCTTGGTTCACCTAACTACTAGGCTTTGAATTTCATGGGTAATGTTTTGTTTTGAGTGCATGCAAGCATGATTCCGCCTTTAATTTGTTAATTGCATGCTATAGATGGTGCTCAAATGAACATGTTTTTCACAAAATTTCCTTCACCCTATTGCTGAACACAACCACGCCACCTTGATCCACGAACCCTCCAACATCGTGCAGACGCCAAAACGTCCTTTCACCATAAATCTTGCCGCCACACGCAAACGTGCGTCCCCCAGAACACGAAATCCTCAGTCCTTTCAATCGGATTCCCTGAATGTTCGTAATGATTAGCAAATTCTTCCGTCGATTTTACGCCTTATTTTGAATTTCAAACGTTTGACCTTTTTCCTTTCCACAAGCCTATAAATACCAAAATTTTCCATTTGTACTTTACGCTTTCAAATTCTCTGAAACTTCTTGCCATTGTTCTCCAGAAATCCTTTTTTTTGCAGGTCTTCATCTTCACCCTAACTAGAAGATTCTTTTCTTTTCATCCTTTTAAACCACTCACGATGGCCTCCTTTATCTCCAAGCTTTCTAAAGAATGTAACCAATGCCAGAAAATCATTGATTGGAGTTCAATCAAGACCATACGTTTTGAAAATTACATGAGCACCCCTCACCAAATTCTTGGTCCTCTTTTCAACGCGGCGGCGCTACTAACTTTCACCAGACTTCTCAAAGAACACTGCCTATCATCCCTGCTGCAAGGATTTGAATGGTCGAAGTGGGATTTGGCAAGGCCACAAGGCTCTTGGCCCTCGACCACTACAACCTGGGCAGCCTGGGTTGTACAAATGGAAAAAATCTTCGGCAAGCAATGGAAAGCCCTAGGCATCTATGACGCCATTCATCTTTCATCTATAGACGTCGTTCTGGACAAGCTCCTCCTAGCAGCCTTATGCTTCTGGTGTTCGGCCACCAACACCATGGTCCTCCCTCTCAGTCCTGTTGGTCCCACCATTCTCGATATTTCCGCTATTTTGGGGACTTCCCCATCTGGAATCCCAATTGATGCTGCCCTCTCTGGGTACTCGTTGAACCTTGACCTGAAGACGCTCTTCGAAAAACAGGCTCTTGAGACATTGAGCGGTGAGGATCAAGCACCCTCGAAAGAAGAAGTTCAGAAGCTTCAAAAGAAGTTCTTCAACTACAACACCCTCTATCTCCATTTTGCCGGCCGAGGAGAAGAGGCTCTGCGAGAAGGGGAACACAAGGCTTTCCTCTTCTATTGGAAATATATCTGTTGTACCAAATCTAACAAGTGCCTGGTCGAGAACATACCAGTGGTCGAAGCCCTGGCTAGCGTTCACACTCTAGCACTTAGCTGAACCGTTCTCGCCCATCTCTTACGCTACTTGGCCGAGACGACCCAACACAAGATCGACTCGTACCAGAACGGTCCCCTCTGGGTCTTTTAACTCTGGCTACAAGTTTACTTTGCCTCTCTTCAACTAGAGATTACCGATTTTTCACCTACGGAAGCGCTTAGACCTAGCTGGCTTCCCGACCAACACCCTCTCACTAAGCTGAAGATGCTAACCTTCGTCAGTCCTGGGGGTCATTCGTACTTACCTGCAGCCTGCCTCTCGTCCGTTGCACCTGTCCTGGAAGAGGCAGTCCCCTTGGCCGAGAGAACTCATCCTAAAAATCCAAAACACGCGGCAGTCGTTTTAGAAGAGAACGACGGAAGTGATGAGATTCCACTGGCGAGTCACCTTCAACCACGTAATCAACCTCCCCTACGTCCGAGGTAGCTGTCCAAGTCAGCCCTTCTGTGGCCGACCGTGGCAAACGACCTGCCGTACAACCAGAAGTGACGGCGGAAACGCCCGTTCACCCACATGACCAAGACCTCAACATTCCTCCCTAAGAAGCCACTTCGACATTTGTAAGTACCCCTACCACTTTTCCTTGGTTATTTTCTGCCTTAGAGCTCTAAACTAGGAAAATACTAAATGTTAGGTGCCTGCCCACTCTTTTCATCGACAATTCTATGCATCGAAGGGTGTTATCTATATTTCTTGGCCGCTTCTGCGGCCATCGAACGTAGATAACCTCCATCGACCGCGTGAACTGAGAAGCAGTCTAAGACACTGGGCTCAGCCATTAAGTTCTTTAGGTTCGAGCAACGAACCTGAAGACATGGCCGAAGTCTCATCTCGGCAGGTTTAAACAAAACCTTCTTGTTATCTTCATGAGAAGTCGAGTTCAAAGCTCTCTTGTCAAGCACAACTGAAGCGGCTGGTCCTTTGACCACTACGACTGAACCCGCTGATTCAACTACTCTAGTTCGGTTGCAAGAAGTCTTGTCTCTCTCTGCATCGCAAGTCCTTGAGCGCAAAGGTCTTGATTTGTTGGGTGCATGCCTAAACGACCTCGGAGTCGATGGTCAAATGAGCTCCGAGGCTATCGTTTAAGCGTCGTCTACCTTGGAGCGAGTTCGGGACACCTTTAATGTCCTCGAGAACGCTCTGAGGGCTGAACAAGATCTAAAAGCTACCATGGCCGTCCAAGAGACTCTTTGTCCAAAGATCGATTGTTTAAAGGTGAAAGGAGAAGCCTTGGCCGACCTCGACCGTCAAATGGCCGAATTGGCAAAACGAAGGTCGGCTATTGCTTTTGAGCTTGCGAAGGACTTCGAGTCGGGTGGTAAAGATTGTTTAACCGAATATATGGCGAGCACAAAGCAAATCAAGCAGTTGAAAATGGACAAGAAGAACCGGCAGGCTGAGGTCATAATGGGCGAGGTGCGGTGGCTGGAGCTGAAGGCACTTCTTCGAACTTTTCTTCCTTTGTCACCTTAGAATATTTTGACTGTAACCCATCTTATTCATGAAATAAAAGAAAACTTTTATTCTTGCATCTCCCATGTGACTGGGTAATATTTCTTTAAAAACTTTCCATTAATTGGCAACCTGTGAATAACACCGGTTCGATCTTTAAGATGGTATACCTCATTGCCGAGGACTTTATGGATGACGAACGACCCTTCCCAGTTCGGCGACCATTTGTCGAACCTGGGGTCTTAATCCCTACGAGTAGGACAGTTTGCCAAACTAATTCCCCCTCGCCGAACGTTTTTTGTTTGACCCTTTGATTATATGCTCGCTCGACAATTTTCTTTTGTGCCATAAGGAGGTTGTAAGCGTCAAGCCGATTTTCTTCCAAATCTTCTAATTCTTGTAACATGGCCTGGGTGTATTCGGCACTGGACAAACTACTCTGCTCGATCACGCGTAACGAATTTACATTTAGCTCGACTGGCAACATCACGTCATGTCCATAGGTTAGCTCATATGGGGTGGTCCCTGTTGCCGACCGAGGTGAAGTCCGGTATGCTTATAAGGCTTCATTCAATTTTAAATGCCACAAGCCCGGTCTTTCTTTTATCATTTTTTCGAGAATACCTATCAAAACCTTATTACTTGCTTCGACTTGTCCATTCGCTTGTGTATAGTATGGTGTGGACTGCTCAAGTTGAATTTTTAAGCTTGCCGTATACTCTTTGAACCTTTTGGCTATGAAGACTGTGCCATTATCAGTTATGATCGTTTCTGGTACGCCGAACCTGGTCACAATATGTTCCTCCACAAAATCGCAAACCTCCTTGGATGTTAATTTGGCGTATGATTTTGCTTCAACCCATTTAGTGAAATAATCCGTTGCCATGAGTATCCATGCATATTTTGCTGCTTCGGAGGATGGTATGATTTTGCCGATCACGTCCATTGCCCATCCTTTGAACGGCCAAGGTTTAGTGACCAAATGAAGTAATTCAGCCGGGGACCTTTGGATAGGTCCATGAATTTGACACTGGATACATCCTCGTGCATACTCAATACAATCTTTCAACATGATTGGCTAAAAGTAACCATGCCGGCGAAGTAACCAAAGCATTTTGCGTCCTGATTGATGGGATCCACAAATTCCTTCATGTACCTCTGTGATTGCTTGGGCAGCTTCTTGCGGGCCGAGGCATGACAATAAACAATCCTTGCCTTTTCAATACAACTCATTCTAGTATGCGACATAGTTTGTGGCATAGACCTTTGTTTTTCTATCGTGTTTGCCTTTGGGGTTATCAAGGTATTGCATAATTGACCTTCTCCAGTCGTTTGGTAGCATTTTGACCACGCACACCTCTACAGGATCATCCCGTTCCAACAACGAAGGTAAAGACATTACCTATGTACGGATGACTTGGTTTCGCTGAAGGACTTGTTGATTAACCAGAGCTGGACATGATTGCCGTAAAACGGGTATCATTGGTCCACTCTTGCCCCCAAGAGTTGTGCTCCGGAGGCTATCTGAGCAAGTTCGTCTACGACGGTGTTCCACCCACGGGAAATATGATTGAATGTGATACCGTCAAATGACTCGGCCAAGTAACTGGCCACCATGTGATAGGGCGCCAGAGTACAACTCATGCACCGAAAAGTGCCATTAAGTTGGTTAATCACAAGCTTTGAATCCCCGAAGACGAGGACGAGGGCAGCGTGTAAGTCATGAAGTACGATCCTCACACCGACCGATGTGGACGTGCTAAAACCATCGAAATACATCATCCAATAATTGTCCCGTGCTTCCACCATTCCGATTTCAACATTGGTGCCCCCAAACCCATATTGAGAAGGGTGGTGGGCTAAGAAATCGGCAAGCACTTATCCTTTGACGGCTTTTTGTGGGACGTACTGCAAACTGAACTCGCATAATGCCATTGTCCATTTCCCGATTTGGCCTTTGACTATTGGCCGAGTAAGCATATATCGAATAACATCTGTCTGGGCAATGACCTGTGTAATGGATGGGAGCATATAGTGTCGGAGTTTTGATGTGGCGAAGAACAAAGCCAAACAAAGTTTCTCGACGGGCAAATAATTGATCTCTGGAGGGTTGAGGTGTCTGCTGAGATAGAAAATAGCTTGTTCTCGCCCAGCATCAGTATCTTGTGCAAGGAGGCAGCCGATGGATTCTTCAGCCGCCGAAATGTAAAGCTTAAGGGGTTTATCACGCCGAGGCGGTACGAGGACTGGCGAAGTCGCAAAAGCAACCTTGATTTGTGTGAAAGCCGCTCGATGTTCTTCACGGCACTTAAACTTGTCTGAATTTTTAAGTTTCAAAAACGTGGAGAATGCCGTCATTTTGCCAGCGGAATTAGCTATGAAGCGATGAAGAAAATTTATTTTCCCCAGCAAGGACTGGAGTTGTTTTTTGGTCGTCGGGTGTGGGGCGTCAATAATCGCACGAGCTTTGTTCTCGTTTACCACGATGCCGCGATGGTGGACAAGAAATCCTAAGAAGTTTTCGGCCGACACACCGAAGGCGCATTTGGCGGGGTTCATCTTAAGGTTATGTCGACGCATGCGACGGAAAGCTTGCCGAAGATCATCAATATGCGTTCGGCGACTTTTCGATTTGACCATGACGTCATCAATATATACTTCTACGGTTATGCTGATCATGTCATGAAAACTAGTGTTCATTGCTCGTTGATATGTGGCCCCAACGTTTTTTAGACCGAATGGCATGACTACCCACTCATAGATTTAGAGCCTCATATTTAGATCTCGTACAAATACTTGGGGGACTTAAAAGTAATTATATGATAAGGGAAGGGGCAAATATGTAATAAGTGAGGAGTCCTTATTCTATAAAAGGACCCCTCACCCTCACAATGAGGGGAGGCCAATTCCTAAGGCTCCTCACTCCCTCTCAAAGCTCTCACTCTCAGAGCTCTCTCTCCCTCAGATAAATACATAACCAGTGTGGACATAGCCCAAACCTTGGGGTGAACCACGATACATCTTGTGTTATTTACATTACTTGCAGATTGACGGTCGGATTTACATTGTACCAAGACCTCCAGGTTTGTGCATCAATAGAGTAGGCTATAAGCATGAGTTTACAAAAGAATAGTTCTATTCACAAACCCATTTTTACCTCCAACACAACCTTATTAATTTTTTATTAGTGATCATCTTCAATTCATTCTATTCAAGCAACCAAAAATTGAGAGGTGAGTGTGAGAAGTAAAAATGAGTGCATGGATAGCACTATCCTTACAGAAAATCCCCCTGAACTACAGTCCACCTTAGCCTTGTGGGTGGCTATGCCATTGCAACCACACAACCTTGGAGAGACCAAGGTCTATGACAAAAGCACAAAGAGCACAAACAAGTATTGATCATATCTCAGGATGACAATTTCCCCCATGGATTTGAGTACTCGTGGGGCTTCGATCTTATTTGGTCGGGTTTGAAGGACAAAAAACGGAAATGGGGAAATTTTCAGATAAGATGTTCGGAGCGGAGTGTGTATGGTATCTTAACATGCAATCCGAACCTGCCCCATATGGAGTATATATAACTATCTTTTATCATGGTGATATTGATTCATATATTTTTGGATTTTAGGACCATACAATTGTGAAATGGTGACCACATCTTATAGATTGGAATATGTTATATTTCCTATATTTGTGGACTTAAAATATTGAGAAACACTTTTATGTTTGGATTTACTATTATTGATTATTTTGAAAGGTATTAATTTTTAGTTGAATAAAATATTTTAATTTTAATATTTTGTAACCGTACCCTTTAGGGGGGTGGGGCTTGAGAGAATCCTTAATTTAAAGAAGGAAAACTAATGAAAATGACTCAAAAACTTTGAATTTAACGAAAAGTTATCATATAACTTTATTTAATGATATGAACCAAAAAAGCCAAAAAAAAAAAAAAAGGACCTTATTGGCGCACGTGCAATTCAATGGCAAAAGGCCGCTGGCTTTGATCCTCGCCAATGAGCTGCTCAATTAGCACTCCCAGGCACTTACATTAATTTCTTTAAACATTGGGGTTTTCTGGGTTTTCACCCACTTCAATTTTGTAATTTTTTTTTATTTTTAAGTTTTTAGTATTTTTTTAGGAAAACTAATGAAAAGAATTTGAAAACTAAGAGTTTTAATGATAAGAAAAAAATAAAGGGTAAAGTGAATAGTATCATGATTAACTTTTTAGTATAAAAATGTGGTTTTCCATTAAAGTGAACAGTACTTGGAGCATTTCGTTAAAGTTCTCTATTTTTTTTTTTGGGTATCATGGAATTTCTTGTTCACTGCCGTTGGGTGATCTTGAACTTTCTCAAGAAAATTTTCACCACTGCAACATTTTTGTTCACTTACATTCCAACATTTTTCAGTGAATTTCAAAGCTCTGCAACTTTGTAGCAAGGTTGGGTTTGATTTAGGTATCTATATATGAAGGTGGTTGTGAATTTCAAGGCACTGCAACATTTTTGTTCACTTACATACCGTCATGAAGGTGGTTGTTGCTTAGGGGATGTAGCGAAACCGAAGAGGACACTATTTCTAAAACTGAACCAAAAGATTGGATCAAGAAAGAGACACTATTTATGAAACTAGACCAAGAAAGAGACACTATTTATGAAACTAAACCAAAAAGAGACATTGTTTATGAAATTGTACAAATTACTATACACTATTTATGGAATTGGACCAAGAATTAGACACTATTTATGAAACTAGACCAAGAATGAGACACTATTTATGGAAATATACCAATTACTATACACTATTTATGGAACTGGACCCAATAACTAAATACTATTTATAAAAGCGAACCAAGAACTAGGTACTATTTATGAATCATGACCAATAAATAGTGTAGTACCATTTAATTTAAAAAATAGTATAGTATCATATAGTTTCATAAATAATGTAGTACTGGTAAGTTTCATATAGTACCATTTAATTTCACAAATAAAGTAGTATCGGTCAGTTTCATAAATAATGTTTAGTTTTATAAATAGTATAGTACCGCTTAGTTTCACAAATAATGTAGTACTGTTAAATTTCATAAACAATGTAGTGCTATTTAGTATCACAAACAATGTATATGATGGACGCGCGTTAGGTTTTATTATTGTTATTATATATATATATATCATAATTGTGTTATATTCATTAAAATTTAAATTATTTTGTCCTCTTTATTAAAATTTAAGTTTTTTACATTAAATAAAGTTATAGTATGATTTTTTGTTAAAATAAATTTAGCCTAAGCCCTTTGCATGAAAGCTCTCATTTAAATATAGGTATGAAGGCGGGGATGAGGTTTGTAATGACATTCTCATTACCGTCACTATAGAAAAAATGTATTACGAGATGGAATAGCATCGTCTGCATAGAACTAGGTTCGTCTGCAAAAAACTTGAACGACGATCGTTGGTCAAGTTTCGTAGGGTCAAGATCGTCGCACAGAGTTTTACCCATAGACATGAATGTCCGTTGGCTAAGTTCATTCTTACCCGACAAATACATTCGTCGTGTAGGACAAAAATAACATGACGGAGGTGATTTCAAACAATGAACTGCACCTTGTCGTCATTTTATATTAAAATAATACAACGAGATAATCCGACGAACACTCCGTCGAGCAAAAAGAGTTTACGTAGATAAAAAATATTAAACACAAAGATTAAAAAAATATGTATTAGAACCCAAAAAAACATTGTAAAATTGAAACTAAATATATCCAACCCAAAAAAAATTGTTCGTTCTACAGGAGGTCTTGATGATTGATGGGGCGGCTCATCGGACAGCTACACGGGGTGGGGGGGGGGGGCTCTTAGGATGACTGCTGGGGAGCCTATTAGGATGGCGACACAAGCTCGGATGGCGGCAATGGAATCATAATGCCAGAAGCTGATAAGCTCTGGGATACGACCATGAATTACTGGCATACTAATTCCCTTTGGCGTGCCAACTCCTCCCCACCTGCTGAAGTTGAGAGTCGGTCCCGGTCGCTGCAGTGGAACTCGACGAAGAACATGAATCGATCCTTTCTTCGGCCGCGAACTTCCTTGCCTTTCCTTCGGCCAACCGCATCCATCAGCACATAAAGAGACACCTCTTAGTCAGGTGTCAGCTCCTCAATAGGCATGTCAGGATGCTACTGAAATGGAGTGGCGAGATACTAGTCCTTTTTCTATACAATTGAAGCCTACAAAAAAAAATATACAAAGTTAGTCAAATGGAATTTAAATCATAATTATAGTAATTAAAAACAAAATACTAAGTTATGCAAGAATACTTACATAAATCTCATCAGCGATATCGTTGCCATAGTTGGCATGGGTCTACCCACGACCACCACCTCCAGGAACTTCTTCCTAGCCTCCTGCCGTTCCTTTATCCGGTAAGATAAGGGTCGACAACCTGAGTGGTGCTTGTACGACTTCTGCTCTCGGTTTCCCTGTCAATCTTTATGTACATTAAAAAATATATTACAACTTTATAAATCATGCAAAAATGCTCTGATTCCTGACCACACAGAAATGCTCAAAGTCTTGACCACTCAGAAATGCTGTGATTCCTAACCAAGTGATAGGAGCATATTTATGCGACTTAGTTAGCTTGTTTTATTGCATTTTCATAGTTAGTTTGTGTTTATTATAATGTTTTAAGCTATTTTCGTGTGTTTATAGGTCCATATGACAAAGTTGGCAAGAAGTGCAATTTGGAGCTTTTTGAGGTAGTTTTGGGCATCAAATGGACAGCTTATGAATGAAGCAAGATGGATGGACGAATTTGAAGTTCAAGAGGCTAGGAATGTGTTGAAAAGAGTGAAGAAATAAATTCAAGACAAAGAAGATAAGGAATCAGCTCAAAAGAAAGAGATATTATCCAAAACCTTATCCAACCTTATCTTATCCAAACTAGCCTTATCTTATCTTATCCTTTCCAAATCAGTTTTTGCCTGAATTCTAGCTATTTCTAAGGGATAATTATACAAATAAAACACATTAAAATTGGTTTCTAGAAGCCCTTATCCACTCCTACAAAGGTGCCGCACCTTATCCCTTGTTTTTCTAGGAAATCAGCCACAAAACACCCTTTCTAGAAGGCCTTATTCCTTGTCCTACAAATTTGGTTCTAGAAACCTTTCTAGAAGTTCTAGAAACTTGATTCTATTCTCCCTATTTCCTTTGGATTTCTAACTTCTAGAAGACCCTTTTCCTTCAAGGATTGTGTATTAATTTCCTATACAAATTAGGCCTTCAAAATCCTTTTCCTTTGCTACCTTGTGCCGTGGGTTTTTAACCCTCTAAATACCAACCC